GGGCGCCCCCTGTGCAGCCGGTGGGCCCGCCCTCCAAGCCGCCGGCGCTGACGACGGGCATGCCCGACCCGCAGGCGGTGGAGGTGCAGAAGGCGACGACGACGACGACGACGACGGCGACGAAGACGACGACGACGACGACGGCGGCGACGGCGGCGACGACGACGACGACGGCGACGACGACGACGACGACGACGGCGGCGACGGCGGCGACGAGGACGACGGCGGCGACGGCGACGACGACGACGACGACGACGGCGGCGCCCGACGACGGCGACGGCGACGACCTCAAGGTGGCGGGGGAGCTCGTCCGCCTGCTGGTTTGGGGAGGAAGAGGGTGCGGAGGGAAACGTGAGGAGTGTCGAGGGCCGGCAGGCGGAGGGTGACGGAGGGAAACACAATTGTTCCTTGGTGGAACGGTTCGTTCCCCAGTGGCAGTTCCCAAGAGTTCCCCGGTGGGAATGCAACTATTGGACACCATTATGAAACCATGTGGGCTCTTGAGGTACCCTTCGGACATCGATTTGGATCTCCGAGGATTCCTGCAGGATGTCCTTGGGAGCCGTTCGCGATTACCCGGTGATTCCTGCGGGTTCCTGAGGGGTCTTGGGGACAACCGCAGGAGTTCCGAATGATCTTAAAGGGATCCAAGGGAGATAGAATACTCAATGAAGGATTTCGAAGGAAACCAGAAACCAGAGGAATCGTGTGGACATCCTTAGGACCCCCAGCGGGTTCTTGTGGAAACCAATCGGTCCTCCAAGGGTTTTGGAGGAATCTTGGGAATACCAGTATGCCCGCTGGGATCCGTCACGATTGCTTACGCAGGCATCCTGCAGGCATCCTTCAGGAGTCGTCTGGACTCCCAAGGACTTCTCAGGAATAAAGCGATGTGTGTGTGTGTGTGTGTGTGTGGAATGTTTGTGGGTTCTATGTGTTTTTGCACGATTCCCGCGGAATCCTTTGAATCCCCGAGGGTTCCTCCACGATTCAAGGGGGATCCTCTGGATCTCCGAGGGTTCCTGCAGGATTCCCGAGAGATCCCGGAGGACCTCTCATGGATACCTGAGGGTCCCGAGGGGCTTCTGCGAGCCCTCTCGAGTTTCTGAAGGAGTCCACGCCGTGGTGCCTTGAGGGTTCCGAGCGTTGGATTCTAGGCGCTGTGACGGGTTCTCGAGGGCTCTAGGCGTTGGGCTGTCTTTCGTGCTAGCTGTGTATGCCTCGCCTCCAGCGGGGAGCGAGCCTCTCGCGGAGGGGGGCGCGGGGGCGCGCGGCGAGCGGACTGGGCGAGAAGGGCGAGGAGGAAGGTGTCCTCGTCGCCGTTTGGTGTCGCCGTTGCTCTCGTCCTCTTCCACGGCCTCTCTCTCGCCTTTCCTTTGCGCAGCAGCATCCTGCAACAAGCGACAGCGAAAGAGAGAGAGAGAGAGAGAGACAGAGAGAGAGAGAGAGATCCCCACAGAGAACCATGGGGATTAGGCGAGTTGATCAGCATGTGAAGGAAAAGGAACATGAGCGGGAGGGGGATGGGGGGAACCTGAGAGAGGAGGAGGAGGAGGAGGAGGAGGAGGAGGCGGACGGGGAAGTGGAGGAGGCCCACTCCCCGGTCCTTCCATTTCTCCTCCTCCCCCCCCCCCCCCCCCTGCATCCTCACTCATGCGCCCTGTCGCCCCCTGCGGTTGCAGACCCCCGCTTCTTGCCACTGCGCGCCCAGCGGCGCGGCGAAGAGCTGTGCTGCTGCTCCAGACCTCGGGACCCAGCCGAAACAAACAGATCAGCATGCATAGCGCATCGCCCCACGGCGCAGCGCCGTCCGCGCAGCGGTCCAGGAGGGGCAGCCCGCTCCCGTCGCGCCCCTCGCGCGGCCGCGCGAGCGCGCGCCCCCGCGGGCAGGCCGCGTACAACAGGAGCCTGGAGGAGCAGGCCCAGCAGGGGGAGGAGCTCCTGAGGATGCAGCAGAAGCAGCAGGCCCCGCGCTGCGCAGCGGCGCCCGGAGAGAGCGGGAGGAGGCGGCGGCGGAGGAGAAAAGGAAGGAGCGAGGAGGAGCGAGAGGGGAGAGCGGAGGGTGCAGGCGGCGCCACGCCCGCCCTCTGCCCATGGTGTGGGCCGCGGCGTGCCCCATGTGGGCGCGCCAGAGCGAGTGAGGATGGAGGGAGAAGGACGAGGAGGAGGAGGAGGAGGAGGAGGAGGAGAAAGAAGAAGGGCAGCAGCACGGAAGGGGGGCGGAAGGGTGTGGTGGGAAGTTGTCATGTGCCTGGGACGGGCCAGGGCGCTCCGGTTATGGAAGCAATGGCGAGCAACACCTGCTTTGAAGGGAGGAGGGGCGAGGAGGAAGGAAGAGACGAGGGAGAGGGGCAGAAGAGGAGGAGGAGGAGGAGGAGGAGGAGGAGGAGGAGGAGGAGTAGGAAGAGGGAGGAGCTCATGAAGGCGCCTCAGGATCAGCAGGCCCTCAGCACCGGCGTGGGGGGAGTGGAGGCCGCCCCCTGGGGCAGGCTAGGCCCGG